AACTTTTTTATTTGATTAATCGCTTGTATGAGGGTATGCATGATTTCATAATGAAGTCATATCATTGCATTAAATATACACAATTTACATGTAAATTTTCATTAAATTTTAATTTTCACGGGAAATTTCTATCTTGCGGTGGGGGTCATACAACTTTGAAATAGAAGACGAAATTTACACAGTATTCTGGGTCTTGTACATAAAATAAGAAACGCTGCACTGTTTAAAAGGAGTGGGGGGAGGCGGGGGTAAATATGAGTATGGACATTAGATAGATAGTACAAAAGTGTGTAATAAGATGACCGATTCCGCCAAGTAAAAAGGAGTAATCTTCCATGTGGAAGAATATTTCTTTATTAATCCACAATTTTTTATTCCAATCATGAGCCGGGTTCCTATGGGATAGATTTGTGATAAAAAGACCTTGTTTTAGAGCTGATTTTTACCAGTATTAAAATGTGCACATGAATATCCAAATTTTATTAAAAGTTTCTTAAGCGTGAATTTCATTTATATTTACATGAATATAGAAAATTCTGAAAAATCAACTTAAAATTTAGCATCTTGTACTAGTAAATATTCAAATATAAAGTTGGAACATTTTGTTTATTTTCAAATCGATGAACAATCCCTTTACCAAACTGTATAATTATGTTCAAAAATGAGGGTGCCTGGTTTACTGCATAATTAACAATTATTTCTTTAAACCATAACATGCTATTTTTTGTTTTAAAAAAGTAAAATTTTCTTGATAATCCCCCAATATTTCACAAAAGTTACTTGAATCATTAAGTTCTTCAAAATATTATTGATTGGAAAATTATCGTCGTGATGTTTTGATAGTTTAAACCTGACCTTGAACCCCACCCCCCCTGGTATATTCAAGTACTTAGCTCCTTTACTTACAGCTTATAGGGCTACTATTTTATAAACAAGGAAAGTTTTTTTTTCAAGCTTTTAGATTTCTGTAGACCCGGTTCTATGGATTTCAAATAAAGATTTATTTTCTTTTTTTTTAGTTTTTAGTAATCATCAAAGTAATTTGAGCGTTAGAATCTATAATCTCTAATTTTACTAGAAACAATAAACCGAGTAATGTTGAATAAATGATTAAAATGTTTCTTATTACTTTAATTTGAAAAAGATCAAACCATTGTCTAAGGATTGATTGGTTGATTGATTGATTGGTTGATTGATTGATTGAATGGGCCGAGTAGAAATTCAAGTAGTTCACATTGCTTCAGACAGTTAAAAACCAATTTAACCTTTTTACTCATGCATTGTAATACTGGACATTTAGATCATAAAAGGGACTGTTCCTTTTTTATTCAAAGTGACCCATCAGTCTAACAGGGACCCCTTAGTCCCCTGGACCGATTTTCCTCAAATTTTGATTAGGAAACTCGTTAGAACAATTCGTAAATTTGTCTTTGCTTAGATTGAAAGTGAAGTGTGTTGACTTTCGTAGATTTATTCACATTTTAAACATTTTCCACTGACATAATATTTTTTAAAAAGACATGTAATTGTTTACGTTTTCATTTTTTGTCAACCCCATTAACTAAAGACCAGGAAGCATCTGTTTAATACTAAACTTGTTTAATTATAATTGAAAAAGTTTAGATTAGCTCCTGTTCAGTAGGAATTGTGCACCAACACATAGTGCTTTATGATTGCACTGACTTACGCATAACTAAGATCATTTAGTTTTTGGTTCAAAATTCAATATACATGCTGAACTGAGCTCTATTTAGTTTTTGGTTCAGAATTCAATATACATGCTGAACTGAGCTCTATTTAGTTTTGGTTCAGAATTCAATATACATGCTGAACTGAGCTCTATTTAGTTTTTGGTTCAGAATTCAATATACATGCTAAACTGAGCTCTATTTAGTTTTTGGTTCAGAATTCAATATACATGCTGAACTGAGCTCTATTTAGTTTTTGGTTCAGAATTCAATATACATGCTGAACTGAGCTCTATTTAGTTTTTGGTTCAGAATTCAATATACATGCTGAACTGAGCTCTATTTAGTTTTGGTTCAAAATTCAAAACACACTGAACGAATATGTATTTGGCAGTTTGGTTCACAACGTGACACTGGACATATAAAATGAATGATAGACATGATTTTGGCACCTGTAACTGATATATGATGTGACACCGGGTCTGGACATATTAAATGTATGATGGACATGATTATATCACCTGTGACTGTTATATAACGTGACACCGGGCCTTGACATATCAAATGTATGATGGACATGATTATAGCACCTGTAACTGTAATTTAACGTGACACAGGGTTTGGATATTTCAAATGTATGATGGACATGCTTATGGCACCTGTAACAGCTATATAACATGAAACCGGGTCTGAACATATCAAATGTTCGCATGCACATGCTTATGGCACCTGTAACCGTTATATAACGTTTCACCGGGTCTGGATATATCAAATGTATGATGGACATGCTTATGGCACCTGTAACTGCTATATGACGTGACACCGGGTCTGAACATATCAAATGTATGCATTGACATGCTTATGGCACCTGTAACTGTTATATAACGTGAAACCGATGTTTGGACATATCAAATGTTCGCATGGACATGCTTATGGCACCTGTAACCGTTATATAACGTGACACCGGGTCTGGATATATGAAATGTTTGATTGACATGCTTATGTCACCTGTAATTGGTATATAACGTGACACAGGGTTTGGACATATCAAATGTTCGCATGGACATGCTTTTGGCACCTGTAACCGTTATATAACGTGACACCGGGTCTGGATATATCAAATGTATGATGGACATGCTTATGGCACCTGTAACTGCTGTATAACGTGACACCGGGTCTGGACAACATGTATGCAAGTATTATGGTTATAAGGCAAATGCATAAAAAGTTGTGTCCTGAAGGTTTTATTTACTTTGTCTTGTTGAATGAATATATATAAGCTGGAGGGTAGTCAACTATCTAATTAGTTCTTCAACTAAAATTATATTTCAATGTCACAGTTTGTTTACCAAGGGGACGCAAACGGATTTTACATAAAGGAACTGTTCGCCTATTTGGAAATTTTGCTAAGGTCTCCGTAAACTCCGGTTCATTTCAAGTACCGAGCCGACTTTTAAACCTCTAGAGCAAGGTGTACGGTACGCATACAGACCATATAAGGCAAAACGGGTCTGTACACCAAACCGGGTCTATACACCAAAACGGGTCTGTACACCAAAACGGGTCTGTACACACATTATAATTTTGAACGGCATTTACTCACTCTTGAAAAATGTCTCTGCAGAAGGGGTAAAAAGGAAAGGAAATGATTATTTAAAACTCTGATTTTCTAATTCTGATATCTTTGCAACCTGATGTTGCGAACCTTTGTTATATTAAATTATGTATTGACATCAGGGATATTATGTGAAGTAGATATGGCCTAGTTATTGCAAAGATTTAAAAAAAAACTAATGAAAGTCTTTCATTTAGCTTTAGTAACGAAGATAATCATTTCTTTTGACAGATTTTCAAACATTGCTATGAATCCAAATGATTTATTTATTAAAAAAAATGCCGCGAAAGATTATCAAAATGGGTATACTAGTATACAAACAAAACACAATGAATATTTTATGTACTTTAATGATATAAAAACCTGCACTGATAATAATGTGCGGAGCCCTAAAAGTGTAATACTTGAATCAGACCTTGGACATTACACTATTTAAAGCACAAGGTTAGGTATAGATGTAAGGAAGAAATTAGGTTTTTATCTTAAAAGGTTTTCTTTCTGTAACAGAAACCATGGGCACTGTGCAGGCAGGTTTAATAGCAAAGCATACTTTCATGGTCAGGAGTTAATTGTTTATTTAGCTGGTTTAATTTATATACAATTACCACCAGCTTCCATACTATAGGTTTGTTTACACAACACTGTACTGCAACTTCTTGGAAGAATAAAAACAAACTCGGCAAATTAAGCAATACTTTTATTTACTAGAGGATTCTGTCGAAGGAGTATGAAATAGAAGGGAGATATACCTGACGCGGTCCGCCCTACCATATGATTATGCAGCTTTGCAGACGGTACTTCATTTGAATAAGAATTATTTGTCTGATGTACAATTACCGCGTATACAATACCCTATTCTGAATATTTCTTATACGAATGGAGTACCGTCTGCAAAGCATGTACAGTATAATCATATAGTAGGGCGAGCCGCGTCAGTTATGTCTCCCTTCTATTTCATACTCTTTGATTCTGTCAAAGACCTTTCTGTCAAGCTTTAATGATAGTATATATAGTCGTCTTTAGCTTGCCATGTTGAATGTAAGTGATACATCTTTTCAGGGCAGGTCTGATTTAATGACTAAGTTGTGCATTTGAACTAGATATTGAAGATTGAACTACTTCTCGATTCTTGCTATTCATTAAATACGACCTCAAATGATTTACAGCTGCACCATTGCCCCTCTCCACCGCCCAAATCAAATTCTCCTATTTTAAACCTACTAATTTACCCCCCCCCCCCCCTTAACTAAATATTATATACTTACTTGGCAATGCATAATACATATTGTTAGAATTGAAATAATAATGTGCATTGCAATTATTATACATATTACACATATGTATATTAATTAGCGTATTTTGCATCATACCTTCTGTTTTTGCAAGTATGAATAATATTTTTACCTAATAACTTCTATTTTTGTAAGTATGATTTATATTTTTGCATCATTCCGACTGTTTTTGCCAGTATTAATACTAGTTTTACATCAAACCTTCTGTTTTTGCCAGTACAAATCATATTTTTGCATCAAACCTTCTGCTTTGCCAGAATGAATAATATTTTTGCAACATACCTTCTGTTTTTGCCAATATGAAAAATATTTTTGAATCATACCTTCTGTTTTTGCCAATATGAATAATATTTTTGCATCATACCTTCTGTTTTTGCCAGTTGGAATACTATTTTTGCATCATACCTTCTGTTTTTGCCAGTAGGAATAATATTTTTCCCTCAACTCCTCCTCTGTATACGTTTCTGCAGTTCTAAAAGTAAAATTGAATTACAATTATACATATAAATAAAGTTCTATAAAGGGTTGGTCATGTTAATGGTTAGATTGATTCAAGGAACGGACAGACTCATCAAGTTGCCATTCGTTTTTAAAAGACAACCGAACATAAAGTTAAAAAGCATCTGTTCGTTTTCATAAATTTCAAATCTTTTTTGTCATGAACGATTTTTTAACGAAATGAAAATACCTTACATAATGGTTCCCAGCAGATTAGCCCAAAATCTTGAATAAGATGTGTCGATATTCTTGATAAATGGTGAAATTATTAAACCAGAAAAATATTTTGTGATGTTTGTCCCATCAAAAAATGTTGCCACCAGGAAAAATACGACCTATTCCAAATGAAAAAAAGTGACTTTCATTCCATTAGAAAAATGTCAACCTAAATCTAACTAGAAAACCTTAATCCAATCAAATGGCGACCTTTATAACGCCAGAAAATGATGACCTTTATGATTGTATCCCATTAAAAAATGGCAACATATCCTATCAGAAAACCCAGATCTCACCTGTATCCTAGAACTGTACTTGAGCTAGGCGGTCCAGCACTCAGTGGGCGTTGCTCAAGACCAAGTAGGCGTGGTACCTGGGGAAGCATTAAAGATAAACATTTGAATGATTAGCAAGTACATGGGTTTAAAGTGAAAAAAATAAATACGACTAAAAAATATTCTTTGGGTTATAATAATTGATTAACATAAGAGTTATTTCAAGGATGTTGATAAATAGCTTATGCACTTGTAAAAGTTAGTTTTTATTTGAAACATTTATCAAAATATCAGTAGTTCACGTTTTGGAAATCTCAAGATGAAACAGTTTTGTTTTTGATTCTTTAAATTATAATACTAGTATGCAATAATGTATTCAAGAAAAGAAGCCGCGTAAAGAATGGTTGACTTTTATCATGACAACTTTTTACAGGAAACCCTTACAGAAAAAGAAAATTTGTGTTAACTATTTTCTGTATCAGGTGTACTTCACTAGATGAAGATAGATATCTGGCAAAAAAAACGCCAAAAATCAATGATCTATTTAAAAGTGTGGTTTCGAACTTTTTAATCTGAATTTACCTGATCTTGATCATCATTGTGCTGGTCAACTTGGTATGGAATAACACCAGGGTAGGCAGCTTCAGGTCTATGGGTCATCTTACCGTTCTCTTTTTAATTCACTTGCCTTGTAAACTATTCACCTTTTCAGCATTCACTAGTTGGGCGCACTAGTTAATAAAAAACTAAACTAGCGCGGCATTTCACGCAGATTTCTCGTGACTCGAGATTTGTATACACTATGAATAGAGATATGAACGCCAGGGTTGAAGTATAAACTTAAACTGAATACTAGGGATACCTACGCCACCAGATGGTTGTGTATTGTGCCATTCACATGTGTGTGTCTGTGTTGGTGTGTGTGTTTGTTTGTCTCGTTACTTGGGAAATATTTGAGATCGTTTAGGAAATTTATACCACATGAGGCGGGTTTATTAACAAGGACAGATATAGGAGCCCGGAGGCGGTTCCTTTGAAGTCCGCCAGGTGGACAAAATATAATTTGCTCCAGTGTGATTTTAGTTTCTAAAACTGTACTTAATTATGTATTGGTCACTTTAGAACAGAGAAACAATGCTATTTAAAAGAGTTAGGGAGTTGAGCTCTCATACATTAAGAAAAAATTAGTGCTTTTTTAATATGTATACCACGGGCAGCCGTAGTACATTTGAATTTCCGAGCTGGGTCAACCTTTTCGGTCCCAGTTTGTACTGTGTCGCCCTGACATTGGGTAAATAAAGCAGACATTGAATAGGAATAGCCGGTGCAACAAGGTTGACGCGGTCAGACTTTAAGTTGAATTTACTTTTACTAAAGGGTCAGGGGTGCGTTATACATGAGGGCCAGTATTTTATATTAGAATTTATTCCTAAAATTTATCTTTTTAAAGTTTTTTAATGCTTTTGGTAAACATTTTTTTCTGGTATTGCATTGTTCTTAACGCATTTTTTTTGCCCGATATTAACACAAAATTATGTTGTCATTAAACTGAACACATCTTGCAGATTTTCAAAAATTTTCGGTTGAAACTCTAAATATGGAAAAGTAACATTGGGGTCTGGTACTAAAAGTGGGTAAATGACAGTACAAATTCAAGAGTAAAAAACGCATTTAATTATTATTTGTAAAAAATTACATAAACCATGTAGAATTAATGGCTAAATTATGCAACTGGAAACTGGAAGAAATGTAACAGAGAACTCAGTTAAATAACTAAGTATTTGTGGTTTAACAATTATTCTATATAATTTTCTCCGTAAATAATTATAAACATCATTTAAACGAGACTGCTCGTGAACAACTATTTTGATTTGAATTACAGATGTTTCAATATACAGGGTGTTATAAGAAAATATCAACAGCACTCAGTTCCACTGAACTCTTTTTATTTCTTTTGAACCTCTTGCACACCTGAAGCATGTCTATTGGGAATGATGGGAATGATATATGTTAGATTCAGTGTGTCAAAGAAGTTTTTGTCTATTTTAAGCAGTTTCTTAATTTTTCTACTAAATTCCACGTTATATATATTATATATTCCCCCAATTATTGATTCAAAATTACGAGTTGTCCTTTTGGTTCTTTCCACGAAAATGGACCATGCATTGAAAACTAAGTTAAGTACTTCTTGACGGGAAAACCATTTGAGATACTGCCAAATACGCCTTTTAAACCGTTCTGGGCATACAATATTCATGTATGCTTTAAAATAAAAATATGACGGCATGGACAGTGGTGTGTGATTTTGCCCATTCTGGAAACTTGAAAAATAATTGTTAAATGTTGAGGATCAGTATGGTGAACCAATTTAGTAATGTATTATTACTTTTGTCTGCATAACTTAAAAACGGCTTGCACTAGAGAGAGAGCTCAAACTTCTTAACTGTGAACAAATTTTGCATATGATTTATGAGGACTGGTCAATTAAAAATATTCCATAACGTTTTTATTAATTAAACTACAGATCTAAAAATTTTATTTTTTTGAAAAGCCCCATCTATATGAGATAAAAATAGCCCAATCGGGTCCAAAACTTGAAATAAAATCATACTCTAATTGTATTCTCTATAGTATGATGCCTGTACTCCTACTCCTACTTGTTCTGGTTGAAGAAGGGGCTGGACGCAATGTAGTTCAGTTCACTGAAAACTCAAGGCATAGATTAATTAAAATAACAGATTCAACCAGGAATAAATTCAAATTATGTAAGGTTTGGGGGATGGGGAAATTGTACACCAAAAATGTACTCGTAAGCCTAGACATGTACGCTTTAGATCAATAAATAGGAAAATTTTTCTTAAAAAATAACCAACTAAGATAAAATTATTTCACAAAATATGAACAAACCACCTTTGAGAGTTATTTATAATAATCGAGAATTCGGACTTATTTATCTATAACTGTAGACTGGATATTCTTAAAGATATATTTGGAGGAACAGATTCTACTGATGCAAGAGCTGGATTAGGTAATTTTTAATTTTTATAGATTAGTCTCAAATTAGTGCTTTTTTGTTTATAAAGTTTTGTCAAAAAACGCAAATTTTTCTTATATTTTTTATCTAAAAAAGGTTAACTTTGCTGACATATTAATACTTATGATTAAAACAAAGAAATTTAGTTCTTTGCTACAAACTAAGATTTTCTAATCCCTATATCTTTGCAACCCTTGTATATTTCAAACTATGAATTCTGTAAGACCAAATAAAGTAAATTTTGAAATATCAAAGGTTTACATCCATCAAGTTGAGAAGATTTATTGGCAAATTGGTATTAAAGAAACCTGTTATTGATTTAAAATATTTGTTTTAAATTTCTGTCGTTTAGAAGAACATTTGAACAGAGAAGAGATTTGGTTCTTTTTGTGTTCATTGTACTAAGACATCTGTACTTCATTAAAGTTTAAACCAATTCATCTTATTTCTTGAAAGAAATAAAGTTTATGCCACAAATTCTAATTTGCCTTCCCTTGATCTTTGCAACCTGATGCTGTGAACTTAGACTTTTTGATCTAATATAATTCATAGTTTAAAATATTAAAGGTCTAGAACATTAAAGAACTTATACTTTACACATGTATAAATGTAGAATTTGAAATATGAAGAAGTGAGTCAACATGTCAGTTCTGTTTAAAACCCCTTTATTAAAAATATTTGTGAGTTTAAAACTGGAAGATTATCATTTAACATAAAATTTACTTAATTTTATGGGTTTGTGAAGCCAGACAATGTTATTTATGAATGTTTAGGTAGAAAAGAACGACTCCAGGACTTGTTAGATGGAATGCTTGAAGCTGAGGGTTGGTTACCGGTTAGAATCCTGGCTATGGCGGTCACTGTAGGCCTGGAGTTTAGCAAGCCTGTTATTTCTGTCAGGTATAATTCAAGATGGCTGTCAAATCAACGCCGCGTATTGCGCATTGTAAATCTAAAAACCACCTCATTTTCACATATTTCTCGTTTTTTTTCAAATCCAATCCGGAAATGAATTAAATAATAAGTTAATAATACTCTGCATTAGGTTCATTTAAAAACCAAAGGAGTTGAGTCTTTGCCACAAACTTGAATATTCCAGTCCCTTTATCTTTGCAACCTGGCGGTGTAAACCTTAGATATTTCAAACTAAGATTACTTGATATAACAGAGTTTATAATTTGAAATATCTAAGGTCTACAACATTGGGTTGCAATGATAAAGGTATTAAAATATCAGAGTTTGTGGGAAAAACTCAATTCCTTTATACTTTTTTCAATTTTTTTATTTATAAATTTATCTTTTAGCCCATGACCTGAGTAAAAATAGAAAAAAAAATCTTGTTAAATTTAAATGGCGTAATACATTATTTTTATTATTATTATAAATCCTTGGATGCAAGTTTTCAAGTTTAATTTGTAATTTTTGTATTCAGAGGTCCAACCTCCAACTGCCATTTTGCTCCTGTATGTCTGGACCTTGCCTGTGGGAAATGTTACGACCCTATGACCTCTCTGCATGGAGACTGTGGGTCTCTTTCATTCTTTAGGTTAGCTCATTTATCTTTTCAAGATTTTTGAAATTCTGAACAATACAACATACATTTATTATTTATCATCGTAGACAAATTACAAAATAAAAAAACTATTATTTTAATCAAGTGACAAAACAAGATAAGCCGTTAAACTTCTTTTTCATTGCAGCTTAACTTGAATAACGGTTTCATTGATCTGAATTTATAAATAAATGTTATGTTTTTTTTTACAGATGCTCTTCCCTTCTTCCACAAGAGTGCCTTCCTTGGACATGTGCAACAGGTACATAAAGCTGTTCATATTAAACTTCAGGGGCAGCTTTGCGAATTTTGGTGAATTCTATTTCTTTGCTGATTATACATCTTAAATAAAATTTTAAATTGATCAGAAATTAATGCAGAAATTAATGCAGAAAGCTGACTAATAAATTTGTTTTAAAGTTTAAGATCGTTGTCACAGGCTCATCCTTTTATTTTACACTTAAAAAGAAAAGTATTGCTGAAAAGGATTTCCGATGCGATTACAATTGCTCCTTCATTTAAAGAGTTACACATGGTACCCTTTAAACTGGTGTAAGTTGCTCCTCTACAGCTCTTAAAATGGAGGGTCGTATGATATTACATAAACTGTTTTTTACATGAATATTATGATTAGGAGTCGCTATAAATCTGTTTTTAAATACATATTTTGCCTTTTTAAGGTGGATCTCTGACTCCATCTTTTCTTCGGAACTTTTTGCCTCGCAGTGCTGGTTGCGGTAGCACAGCATTAAACATCATCACTGCAGAGAATACCAAGCTATCCTCTTCAATACAACTCACTGGATTAGGTAAGCCAAGGATTAGAGAACACTAAACTATTACCCTCAATACAACTCACTGGATTAGGTAAGTCAAGGATTAGAGAATACTAAACTATTACCTTTAATACAACTCACTGGATTAGGTAAGCCTAGGATTAGAGAATTATAAACTATTACCTTCAATACAACTCACTGGATTTGGTAAGCCAAGGATTAGAGAATTATAAACTATTACCTTCAATACAACTCACTGGATTAGGTAAGCCAAGGATTAGAGAATACTAAATACTATCTCCTTCAATACAAAGGTTTAACTATGAACTCCTTGACTCGGTGCTCCGAGGAAGATGTTTGCTGGGATAGCGCTTGTAATAATATTTAATTCTAAGGTTTAACTATGAACTCCTTGACTCGGTGCTCCGAGGAATATGTTTGCTGGGATAGCTCTTGTAATAATATTTAATTCTAAGGTTTAACTATGAACTCCTTGACTCGGTGCTCCGAGGAATGAAGTTGTTCCCACCTACCCTCCTCCTGCAAACCTATTCTCTGCTGGCCAAAGGTAAAAAACTAAAATTTGTTCACTTGAAAAAAACATTTTTTTATTTGTTTATTTTCTAAAGGATTTGAATGAGACAGTCTCAAGTTCTCCAGTTATACTCAGGGACTTCGAGGCTAGAGAAGTTGGGCCTCTAACTTGCAACTAATTCACTTCCAGCTAATCAGCTAATTTACTCCAGCTTATTAACTGATTTATTCCAGCTAATCAGCTGATTCGTTTCCAGCTAACCAGCTGATTTACTTCGAACTAATTAGTTAATTTATTCTAAATAAATAATCAGATTATTCATTCCTAGTGAATCAGCTGAATTATTACAGCTTATCAGCTAATTTATTCTCAGCAAATCAGCTGAATTATTCTCAGCAAATCAGCTGATTTATTCCAGCTTATCAGCTGATTTAATCCAGCTAATTAACTGATATATTCCGGCTAACTACCTACAGCTGATAAGTTGATTGTAATCTGCTTGGAGCTGATCAACTGATTATCTCCTGTATACAAGCTGATTGACTGATTATCTCCTGTATACAAGCTGAACAACTGATTATCTCCTGTTTACAAGCTGATCAACTGATTATCTCCTGTATACAAGCTGATCGACTGATTATCTCATGTATACAAGCTGATCAACTGATTATCTCCTGTATACAAGCTGATCAACTGATTATCTCCTGTATACAAGCTGATCAACTAAACCTAACTTTCTGAATTTGCTTTAACCTTCAATACAGCTGAATATATTAATTTCTTCAACTTTTATCTATTTTTCTCTTATTTATTACTAATTTCAACTAATCTGTAAGATTAGTAATTTGCAACTAATTCATCTTTAACGTGTGTACTGGACTACATTTTAAATTTTACAACATCACTAGTTACATTTTACTTCTACATTTTACAACATCCCTAGTTAAATTTACAACTACATTTTACATTTTACAACATCCCTAGTTACATTTTACATCTACATTTTACAACATCCCTAGTTACATTTTACAACTACATTTTACATTTTACAACATCCCTAGTTACATTTTCAACTTTTTTACATTTTACAACATTCCTAGTTACCTTTTACAACTATATTTTACTTTTTACAACATCCCTAGTTACATTTCAACTTTTTTTTTACATTTTACAACATTCCTAGTTACCTTTTACAACTACATTTTACTTTTTACAACATCCCTAATTGCATTTTACAACTACATATTACATTTTACAACATCCCTAGTTACATTTTACATTTTACAACATCCCTAGTTACATTTTACATTTTACAACATCCCTAGTTACATTTTACATTTTACAACATCCCTAGTTAAATTTTACAACTACATTTTACATTTTACAATATCCCTAGTTACATTTTACAACTACATTTTACATTTTACAATATCCCTAGTTACATTTTACATTTTACAACTAAAAGAAAAAATGAGGACGTCACTTTCCGGTTCCTGCTTTTCCTGATTTTATTCTGACTTCATAATAATCATTCTAAACCCACCAAACTCAGAAGAATGAACCTTGATTGCTTAATTTTAAAATTGCATGGCTCAAGAAACTATAAAATCAGACTGTTCTGTAGCTGAATAATCATTATATTATGTGTAAATGTAAATTTTAAACTTTTTTACATAATGTATTCTATCCTTACAAACTGTTTCAAATAAAATTTACACTTATGTATTTTGAACCTTTGCTAAAATAAAAGTAGCTCCTAGAGTGTTTACCCTGGACTAATTTTCAAAATATTTTCTTTTTCAGATAGATCACTTCGGATTTACTAATACGAAAGTTTATCACTGTACTAACGGTTTCATTGATCTGAATTTATAAATAAATGTTATGTTTTTTTTACAGATGCTCTTCCCTTCTTCCACAAGAGTGCCTTCCTTGGACATGTNTTACAACGTCACAGTTAAAATCTTTAATTGTCTGTTAAAGTATGAATTAAATACTTTATTAAAGATTAAGTAAATGTTTCAAGGGTACCGTTGTAAACCTTTGCATGGAGGGTCGCTTAAAATTACGCTAATAGTCCCTTTAAAAATAATGAGTATAAAATTTTGAAATTTAAACTTCTTTAAATAAATTAGTAATTTAAGACGCATGCCAATACAAGCACTATTATCATGCTGCAGGGAACCATATGGTGGCTTAAAATATTGTGCTTCCCAATTCTATCTTTAACAGATTTATTAAAATTTGTGTAGTGAAGCAAGGAGGGCTGAGTAGTGAATAGGGTTTACACTTTACAAGGAATTTCCACAAAAGTATTCAAAATTATTTTCTATTTTTCAACAATAAACAAAAATTAGATAGCTTTCGATAGAACCATAGAAATTTCTAAACTTATTTGTCTAAACACTAGAAATCTCGAGGGGGGGGGGTAGATGCCATATATAAATCGACCAAAGACCTAATTAATGATACCGTATGAAATATTACCGTCATGAACTACTCTAAATAACAATAGAAATACAAAAGGGGGGAGGGGGGGGGCTATACCCCCTCCGTTCGGTTAATTTAAAGGAGAAAAGTGACAAATAATGAAAATAAAAAGATTTTTCCCAGAAACATTTATATTAAATTAAGTTATACAAACCTTATCTATTTAAATATTCAATAACATTAAAAAAATACAAAGTATGCTCTGCAATTATTGTAAAAAAAATAAAGATTACTTCTTTTACATTTTATGATTTTACGCTCTCTGAGACTGGTTTGTAATTCTTTTTAAATCTACCCATTCATATAAAGTATATATGGAATGATTTAAATGTGGGTTTAATTTCTTTAATAAGAATCATGGTAAATTCATAATTGAAATAAAACTCTAAATATTTTATGAAACTATAGTTTACTTTATCATTCTTCCTAACTTAATGGTGAATTTTATTATGGACGTGCTTTAAAGTAATCATCGTACGTGCTTAAAAGTTAAATTTGCTTTACATTATAGCTAATGTGCTATACAGTTGATTGGTTCCCGGATTTTCGCCCGTTTAGATGATATTAAAATGAAACCTAAAAAAACTGGAACCTTCTCGATAAAGAGAAAATTTCTGTCTAAAAACTTTATAACACTGCTAAAAAAATAACACGACAGCATAACTAAAAAAAATATATTCAATAAAAAATTATTATTTAAATAAATATAATTTGTCATTGAAGCTCTTTGTGATTTTTAATCATCGTACAAGATTATTCTGCTTTCATCTAGGAGTTCATTGTAAACCTAAAAACAGAAGTAATACATATCTTTTATCCATGGAGTTCATTGTAAACCTGAAAACAGAAGTATAAAATATCTTTAATCCATGGAGTTCATTGTAATTATGAAAACAGAAGTAATAAATATCTTTTATCCATGGAGTTCATTGTAAACCTGAAAACAGAAGTATAAAATATCTTTAATCCATGGAGTTCATTGTAAACCTGAAAACAGAAGTATTAAATATCTTTAATCCATGGAGTTCATTGTAATTATGAAAACTGAAGTATTAAATATCTTTAATCCAGGAGTTCATTGTAATTATGAAAACAGAAGTATTAAATATCTTTAATCCAGGAGTTCATTGTAAACCTGAAAACAGAAGTATTAAATATCTTTAATCCATGGAGTTCATTGTAATTATGAAAACAGAAGTATTAAATATCTTTAATCCATTAGTTCATTGTAAACCTGAAAACAGAAGTATTAAATATCTTTAATCAAAGAGTTCATTGTAATTATGAAAACAGAAGTATTAAATATCTTTAATCCATGGAGTTCATTGTAATTATGAAAACAGAAGTATTAAATATCTTTAATCCAGGAGCTCATTGTAAACCTGAAAACAGAAGTAATAAATATCTTTAATCCAGGAGTTTATTGTAAACCTAAAAATATAAGATCTCTGATCCAGGAGTTCATTGTAAACATGAAAACAGAAGTATTAAATATCTTTAATCAAGGAGTTCATTGTGAACCTGATAATAGAAGTATTAAATATTTTTATTAATCCAGGAGTTCATTGGAAACATGAAAACAGAAGTATCTAAAATTTAGGAGTTTACAGTAAACATGAAAAAAAACTATTAAAGATCTTAAAACCTTGAAAAAAAAGTATTAAATTAAAATATTAGAGGTATTTTTGAATTAACAGCTTGAAAATATCAAATTACTAAATATTATCATAAATTATTAAATAATTAAATTCCAATGTTAAAAAAACATTTTGAATAATTTCAGTAACTGGCATCTCAGCTTACAAATCTATCAAAATTACTTTTAACTTTTATTATTAACGATTATTATTTATTCATTATTTATATTACGTGCTGAGGTACCCATAAAGGATGATACTTTAATGAAGAAGCGGCCCTGAAGTATTAGTTCAACTAGGTAAACTCCTAGTTCAACTAGGTAGATCTAGTTAAACTCCTAGTTCAACTAGGTAGATCTAGATAAACTCCTTGTATAACTAGGTAGATCTAGTTAAACTCCTAGTTCAACTAGGCAGATCTAGATAAACTCCTTGTATAACTAGGTAGATATAGTTAAACTCCTAGTTCAACTATAGATCTAGTTAAACTCCTAGTTCAACTAGGTAGACCTAGTTAAACTCCTAGTTCAACTAGGTAGATCTAGTTAAACTCCTAGTTCAACTAGGTAGACCTAGTTAAACTCCTAGTTCAACTAGGTAGACCTAGTTAAACTCCTAGTTCAACTATGTAGATCTAGTTAAACTCCTAGTTCAACTAGGTAGATCTAGTTAAACTCCTAGTTTAACTAGGTAGATCTAGTTAAACTCCTAGTTCAACTAAGTAGATCTAGTTAAACTCCTAGTTCAACTAGGTAAATCTAGTTAAACTCCTAGTTCAACTAAGTAAATCTAGTTAAACTCCTAGTTCATCTAGGTAGATCTAGTTAAACTCCTAGTTCATCTAGGTAGATCTAGTTAAACTCCTAGTTCAACTAGGCAGATCTAGATAAACTCCTTGTATAACTAGGTAGATATAGTTAAACTCCTAGTTCAACTATAGATCTAGTTAAACTCCTAGTTCAACTAGGTAGATCTAGTTAAACTCCTAGTTCAACTAGGTAGATCTAGTTAAACTCCTAGTTCAACTAGGTAGACCTAGTTAAACTCCTAGTTCAACTAGGTAGATCTAGTTAAACTCCTAGTTCAACTAGGTAGATCTAGTTAAACTCCTCTTTACCTTAGCAATTTCAAACTCTTGGTCCCTATTTAACCGTTTAATACTAAGCCAAGGTTTAATTCAAGGTTTAAGCCAAGGTGTAATCCAAGGTGTAATCCAAGGTTTAATCCAAGGTTTAATCCAAGATTTAACCCAAGGTTTAATCCAAGATTTAACCCAAGGTTTAATCCAAGGTTTAATCCAAGGTTTAATCCAAGGTTTAATCCTAGATTTAATCCAAGGTTTAATCCAAGGCTTAATCCAAGGTTTAATCCAAGATTTAATCCAAGGTTTAATACAAGGTGTAATCCAAGGTTTAAAATCCAAGGTTTAATCCAAGGTTTAAAATCCAACCTGCAGAAGTTGAAGATCTCCTGCCTTCCCAATATTATCCAAGTTTGAAAGAATGGATTTGGGAGAACTTCTAAAATATATAAACCTTTGTAGGGACAGGAAGCAATGTTTGTATCTCAAGTGAATCTCTATTTTAAAGGGAGTGTTCGCGAAAATTCAGTGGTATAGGCTGATATCGAATATAATTCAATATTAATCGCTAATAGTTTTATTATCTGTTGTGCATATAATTAAGAGAAAAGGATGTAAAACGACTCAAAGCTAAGGACGTACAGGACCCAAACAAACTCATGAAGTTGTATTATTCCACTCAGATCGTAAATAATTAGATTAAATTTAAAATTAATCGTTTAGATATTACAACCTGATGCATTCGTATAAAGTTTATATTTCATCATGTTTATTTACCTGGTTAACGGATTAAGGCTATTGTGTACAAGTGTGAGTATACAGCGTGCTCTCATATTATTCTCATCTATCATTCGTAACTAAATCAAGCGGTATTAAGAAAATATTCTATATCCCAGAGCCCGAATCATCCCATTTTAACGGCTGTATTGAAGACGCGTATTTCTCCGTACTTTATAGTGTTTGACTGCTAGAAATCTATATGACAGCACATAATCTAATTTTACAATGCTTCAGGTTGTGTATTTATAATGTACAGTCACAGTCGGAACTCGGAGACGTCATATGTTAGTAAAAAGTATGGATAAGACGATATGGGCTCTGTGTACAGGATTAGACAATAAACATTTAGCAGAAAAAAGAAAGACACACAGGAGCCCACATAATTAACTGTTTCCTTAAACAGTGTACTGTAGTTTCAGGAAAGCAGGAAGAACAAAACTCAGCCCTAATAGCAGTAACAATTTTATGAGTTCTTTATTTTCTGTTTTTACAATTTTTTATTAAATGTCTTTTTGACTAAATAAATGGGTTGAAACTGATGTTGTACATACCACTCTAACATTTTATTTTGGTTATAATGTTAAAACATATTACAGAAATGTTTTGACATATTTGGAGATGCTCTTTGGAGAGTTTTTTTCCGAGGTTATAAGCCCCCAGCTCCGGGGAAACTGCAGGCAATAAGAAAAGGTAGTTTTCTACTGAAATGTCGTCTTCAAAGGGCATTTCTTTTTTTCTGAAGAGTCTTATTTGACTAAATTTGGGAACACATTAGAAATATATAAAAATGCAAAAAATTGCTTTAATATTAAATTAATTAAAAATAGCTATATATACATATATTCGGCTTATACGAATGTAGGTGAGCTGTCGTCTTCCTTGTTACATTTGACACGTGTGACGTCGTGAATTATTGGTTCATTTCTCTGGTGTCAACATAAAAGAAATATCAAAAATTCCAGAATTTTGGCAATATTTTACTAAAAGATACTAAATCGAAACATCTGAACTAACTTTTGGTAATATTTATCAGACCGAACACAACTTGGAAGTCCCAGGAATAGGAATATGTTATTAAGTGTTTTAGCAATATGCATGCCGTGTGTAGATGATCTAAATAAACCCATCACTTAACTTACTTTTTTATTTGTACTTAATTTAGTAATACACGATGGGTGGTGGGACGATTGATTAAAAGACTTTTTAATTATATCTATAAAATACCTTTTAATGAAAATCTCAATCACGTTCATACTTCTGTATAGATGTGCGTTTCTTTAAGTTCTTTGATCTTCGATCTGTTTCAGCGCGGAGACTTAGAAATTTATTTTTATAGAAATCAAGTATTTACCTTAAAATAAGGCCTCATATCAACATCATTCTCAAGACGGGAAACAACGTCCCTAGAAGATTTTAATTGAGATTAATTTTCTGTTTTCAATTATAATATGAGTTGGAAAAGTACATTTGCGAGTTCATCCGAGTACATATCCAATATCCATCTTCAAAATTGATGAGACTTTTTGCAGGCTGAATCTATGTGAAAGGGTTTCTAATGAATTTCGCGAAATTCTAAATATTTTCAAAGAAACTATAAATAACAATTCTTAAACTTATTACCATGTTCTCTTGAAGACTTTATTTGTCATTAAGGTTTAAAATATCAAGAATTTGCCAAGATATATGGACAACAAAATTTGAGTTTGTGGCGAAAAATCATTTCCTTTTCGAAAGTTTTTGTTATTTTAATTATTGATTTTTTCAATTAATGAATTCTCAAATTTTTTAAATGCTATGTCTTTGCAAACTTACAGTGTAAACCTTTGATATTTAAAATTGATATTATTTGATCTAACAGAATTCAAAGTTTGAAATATCTAAGGGTTATCAATTGGGTTGCAAAGATACTAAGATTAGAAAATCATATTTTGTGCCGACGACCTATTTCCTTGCCTAAAGATTTTTCCAAATATTTTTATTTTATAAATCTTCGTTTTTACTTAACGAATAAAAATAAAAGACGACATTTACTTGTTGGTGAGGTGTTTGTATGGTTCTTCTCCCCAACATAATATTTCCCAGATAAGGACTCCTAAACACATTAATTGATAACATCTATAAAGTTTGTATGGACCGGTACTAAAGCGTTAAATTTTGCAATAGTTTCAGTAAATATTTCTATTTACGGATAGCGCCGATTGAAGGATTCATAACTCTTATTGGATAATAATGAGATAGATAGAAAGATATATGTTACAGCCATACTATTCCTATTGGTTCAGAATAGTCAATAAACACATAACTGAACCCTGATTGGTTCAGGCGCTAATGGACCCGGCAAACAGGAGTGCATGGAGAAACCCAAATAAAAGACACAATTCTAAACTAGTCTTACCTTTCAATGACAACTATTATTGTTTTAATAGTTACCAATTGAGAAATGAAAAACGGGGAAAAAATCTTCTTCAGATCGAGCAATGAAACGCAAACTATAAAATTACATCTCTTGTTGATTTAAACGAAAACATAGAAAAAATTAAGTTTGCTTCACACTTTACTAAGTAGAAAGAGAAGGTCAAATTAATTGAGCCTTTGCCACAAACTCAAATATTTTTGAACTCTTATATCTTTGCAACCTGGTAGTGTAAAGCTTTGTTACTTCAGACATATATTATTTGATTCACAGTTTGAAATACCTAAGATCTACAACATTGGGTTGAAAAATATAGGATATCAGATATTCAGAGTTTCTTGAAAAAACACATTTTCTTTTTGCGACATTACTGGCGCGACTTTCTGACCTCGTAGATTCTTCAGTTTTACACACAAAGCATGAGAAGAACAAATTTGTTTGGGTTACTTACTAGAAACTCAATAGATGGATATTCAATAGAAGAGAGTTATAAGATTGAGAACATAACAGATTTCAGTCTAACGTGAAATTTGCTGAAATGACGCGATTTAATTCTATTGTAACGATCTAGCCCGTCTCTCCTAGCTTACACTTTATGGCTAAATTGTCTCAAACTCTAACTATCAGTCAATCCCGACTGCTTTATGGCTCAACTGCCTCAAACTCTAACTATCAGACAGTCCCGACTGATGTTTGGCTAAATGCCTCAAACTCTAATAATCAGACTACCCAGTCTGATTCCGTCTATACTTAACAACAGATGGCATTCAACTAATTTATTTATAAACATGATTATACGGGCCGGTCTGACCGTCCAGGTAACAAAATTAAAAGAAAGAATTATAATACAAAATATGATAACACTGTAGGGTAGATAGATACAGCTTCTGCAGAATTCATTACACTATGAAGCAGAACAATTTGTTTGTTTGTTTGGGTGTTTGTTTGTTTGGGTGTTTGTTTGTTTGTTTGTTTGTTTGTTTGTTTACCTAAAGCCCAGATATTATCGCTACTGGTTGGTTTGGTGTACACAGGAACCATTCTGAAAACACATACAGTTGAGGTCAATCGGAAATGCGTGACAAGGAATTGAGTTTTTGCCACAAACTCTGATTTTCTTATCCCTTTTATTATATCTTTTAACTCGATATCGTAGACTTAAGTTTTTTTAAACTGTGTTTTATTATGTTCGATCAAATAGTCTAAGTTTGAAATATCAAAGGTTTGCAACATCAATTTGATTTTGTGGCAAGAACTCAATTACTTTTACTTTAATTTTTCTCTCTTTACATTTGTTTACTTTTATATCTTTCTAATTGGTTCCATTTTAACGTATTTTCTGTTTTTATATTTTATCTGTTCTACTTTTTTGAAGAGTGTATTATTCATATACGATAAATATATATGCATAATATATAAAATATATATACGATAATTATATATACATAATATATAAAATATATATAGAGTTGACCAAAGATATACTTCTAAAGATTGCTGCAATGCATGAAACATCACGTATTCTATATATAAATTTAGCTTGTCTGGGTGTCTGTCTGTTTGTTTGTATCCAATAAACGTCAAAACGGCTGAACCGATCGGGCCCAAATTTTGTGGGGGACCTCACGTGACCCCAGGGAAGGTTTATGAATGATCAAAATTTTAAAAATTTGTGTTTAAAAGTTTTTTATTTTTGTAAAATTTAGAAAATGCGCGAAACAATATTATGAAATCCGCAAACTTTTTTTTTTTTGTTTTATGCTGTACAAAGAGAAGATGCTCATAGATAAAGCCACAATTAAAAGTTGAAATAGAAGATAGGCGCGAAGCGCCATAAAAGCCTTGTATTTTACACTTCTTTTGTATAATAATAATGTGAAGTTATATATATTATGTATGATAAAGATATATTTTATTTACATACGATTTGGAATATATTCTTCTGTTTGCGTTCATATATTTTGATCTATTCTTTTATTTTTGTTCTTATATTTTTAACCTATTCCTCTGTTTGTGTTCATATATTTTACCTATTCTTCTGTTTGCGTTCATATGTTTGCTCTGTTCGCCCATTTATGTTTATTGATCTGCGCACAAAAATTTAACCTGTTTTCCTGTTTCTGTATTTGCGAAGACGAACACCATCGTACAGGCACACTGTCTATCATAAATTTAGAATATATTTTAAGAAAAAAAGCAAAAATATGAAATTAAATTGTCTGTCTAGTAAGCCTCACATAAAAACGTGGTATAAAATACATTTTGAGTACCTGGCTCAAATGGTAAAAATCAACATATATATTTATTCCTAAATAAATGAGCTTTTTCCATTTGTTGAAATTAAAGTAAAGCTATTAATGAAGGGACAGGGGTGTACGTAACATTAAATTCTAATTATTTACTGCTATATCATGCATCACCTGTATATATCGGCCAGTAGTCTTGTGGATATAAAGATCTTCCTAGACCATAGTCACACAATTTCAAGGTCAAATCTCTAAATGTCACAAAGCTTCAAGGTCAAATCTTTGAATGTCATTGTCACACAGCTTCATGAGGTCAAATCTCGTAATGTCACAAAACTTTAAGGTAAAATCTCTAAATGGCACAGAGCTTCGAGGTAAAATCTCGTAATGTCACAGAGCTTCAAGGTTAAATCTCTAAATGGCACAGAGCTTCAAGGTTAAATCTCTAAATAGCACAGAGCTTCAAGGTTAAATCTCTAAATGGCACAGAGCTTCAAGGTTAAATCTCTAAATGGCACAGAGCTTCGAGGTTAAATCTCTAAATGGCACAGAGCTTCAAGGTAAAATCTCTAAATGGCACAGAACTTTAAGGTAAAATCTCTAAATGGCACAGAGCTTCAAGGTTAAATCTCTAAATGGCACAGAGCTTCAAGGTTAAATCTCTAAATGGACAGAGCTTCGAGGTTAAATCTCTAAATAGCACAGAGCTTCAAGGTAAATCTCTAAATGGCACAGAACTTTAAGGTCAAATCTCTAAATGGCACAGAGCTTCGAGGTTAAATCTCTAAATGGCACAGAGCTTCAAGGTTAAATCTATAAATGGCACAGAGCTTCGAGGTTAAATCTCTAAATGGCACAGAGCTTCAAGGTTAAATCTCTAAATGGCACAGAGCTTCTTGGCACAGAGCTTCAAGGTAAAATCTCTAAATGGCACAGAGCTTCAAGGTCAAATCTCTAAATGGCACAGAGCTTCAAGGTAAAATCTCTAAATGGCACAGAGCTTCAAGGTAAAATCTCTAAATGGCACAGAGCTTCAAGGTTAAATCTCTAAATGGCACAGAGCTTCAAGGTTAAATCTCTAAATGGCACAGAACTTTAAGGTAAAATCTCTAAATGGCACAGAGCTTCAAGGTAAAATCTCTAAATGGCACAGAACTTCGAGGTTAAATCTCTAAATGGCACAGAGCTTCGAGGTTAAATCGCTAAATGGCACAGAGCTTCAAGATTAAATCTCTAAATGGCACAAAGCTTCAAGGTCAAATCTCTAAATGTCATAAAGCTTCAAGGTCAAATCTTTGAATGTCACTGTCATACAGCTTCATGAGGTCAAATCTCGTAATGTCACAAAACTTTAAGGTCAAATCTCGCAATGGCACAGAGCTTCAAGGTTAAATCTCTAAATATTAAATCGTTTACAACCATGTGACTACTAGGTAAAAGTTTTGAACGTAAAAATCAAATCTTAAAATTTCACCTAATGTCAAGCTGTAATCTGTTTAATGTCGCAGGATGCTAGATGCTAAATTGGAATGCTGCATGCTGTTTATAAACACACCTATTAATAATACATGTTCTGGTTGCAACTTCAGAATGCTGCATGCTGTATATTAACTAACCTAGTAAGAATGCATGTCCTAGTTGCAAGATCAGGATGCTGCATGCTGTATATGAACTAATCTAGTGAGAATGCATGTCCTAGTTGCAAGATCAGGATGCTGTATGCTGTATATAAACTCAAATAGTAATAATGCATGTTCTAGTTGCAAGGTCAGGATGCTGCATGCTTTATATTAACACACATAGTAATAATGCATGTCCTAGTTGCAAGGTCAGGATGCTGCATGCTTTATATTAACTAACCTAGTAAGAATGCTTGTCCTAGTTGCAAGGTCAGGATGCTGCATGCTGTTTATAAACTAACCTAGTAAGAATGCATGTCCTAGTTGCAAGGTCAGGATGCTGCATGCTGTATATAAACTAACCTAGTAATAATGCATGTCCTAGTTGCAAGGTCAGGATGCTGCATGCTGTTTATAAACTAACCTAGTAAGAATGCATGTCCTAGTTGCAAGGTCAGGATGCTGCATGCTGTTTATAAACTAACCTAGTAAGAATGCATATTCTAGTTGCAAGGTCAGGATGCTGCATGTTGTATATAAACTAACCTAGTAATAATGCATGTTCTAGTTGCAAGGTCAGGATGTTGCATGTTGTATATAAACTAACCTAGTAATAATGCATGTCCTAGTTGCAAGGTCAGGATGCTGCATGCTGTAAATAAACTAACCTAGTAAGAATGCATGTCCTAGTTGCAAGGTCGGGATGTGCAATTCCTTTATTGAACAGGGCATCAAGACCAGCAGTAGCGTCCATACACAGCTTATCAAGTATAATTATTTAGGGATTAGAAAATTAGAGTTTGTGGCACAGACTTAACTTCTTTATCATCATTCTTAATCGTTATTTGTTATTTCTTGTTAGTATTAAAAAGAATGCTTACGGATAAAGAAAAAACTTAGATAATTACGAAGCGCACTTTACGTTAAGCAATTAGTATTTGCAAGGTCGGGATGTGCAATTCCTTTATTGAACAGGGCATCAAGACCAGCAGTAGCGTCCATACACAGCTTATCAAGTATCATTTTTTAGGGATTAGAAAATTAGAGTTTGTGGCACAGACTTAACTTCTTTATCATCATTCTTAATCGTTATTTGTTATTTCTTGTTAGTATTAAAAAGAATGCTTACGGATAAAGAAAAAACTTAGATAATTACTAAGCGCACTTTACGTTAAGCAATTAGTACTATAATCTACCTGAAGTTGTAATGAACTATCCAGTTTATTTGGATGTTCTCTCAAATATGTCTTGGCACTGAAATAGTGAATTTCGTTAAACCTTTTAGTTTGTCAAGTTCGTTAGTTGTCTGTTGCCTTCACTAAATCTTTCACAATTTTCCTTAGTGTCGGTTTTGTTTTGAAAAAATTAAAAAAATATGCGTTTTTTTAAGCCAATTTATTTAGGCTTCAGTATAAAGTATTACTCCTATAAAGCAAAAACAGACTAAAAATAATGTACAGTGTTAGTCCGTGCAGCTATGGTGTATATCTGGAGAAAAGACTGCAAAAGTTGCTTTTGTTCATCTATTATATTGTTGACTTTTTAATTATATCTATATAAACTAGGCATTTAGGGTTCTTTGCGCCCATCTTCTATTTCAACTTTTAATTATGGCTTTATCTGTAAGCATCTGTAAGCAACAGTATAATTGCATAATATTTTTTCAATCATTTTCTAAATATACTTTGCTTGGTTTGTCTGTTTGTCTGTTTGTGTCCAATAAACGTCAAAACGGCTGAACCGATCGGGCCCAAAATTTTGTACAGGACCTCACGTGACCCCAGGGAAGGTTTTTGGATGATCGAATTTTTAAGATTTTTCCTGTAACAAAATTCGATTTTGAAAATTTTGAAAATTCACGAATTTTTTAAATTATAAAATCCGCGAAAATTTTGTTCCTTTTTGCCTTGTTTAATGTATATAAAAAGAAAATGTTCACAGTTGAAATAGTTCAGCCGTTTTGACGTTTATTGGATACAAACAGACAGACAAGTAAAGTATATATAAATATGAAGTAGTAATCTCTATTTGATACTTTTGTATATCCGATCATAACTCATGAACCCCTTGACCAAAACAATCTGTTTTAATTTTGCTTCCAGACTACAAAACTGGTTTTGTTGTTGTTGTTGTTGTTGTTTACCTTTTGAAATGTGTATATTCGAGAATAGATAGAAGAGGGAAGGAGTCAAAGCTGCCCATAACAGCACCAGCTAGGTTTGGATGCCTAGAGAATAATATAGAGTAAAGTGTACAGTTCTTTATACCCTACATATATCTTTCGACCCTTAAATGTTTTTCGAATTCATTGGACAGCCTAAAAAGTTATCGAAAGGCTAGTGGTTGCTTTGAACAAAAAGTAACTAAAAATCTCCATCAACTGAAAAACATGGAACCATAAAAATTCTTGAATATGAAAAAAAAGTTGGTTGCTTTCTTGTGTTTTCAAAATTACCGGAGTTAACGTAGTAGAATATAGGGGATAGAAAACATTTAACATTTGGAACGTACGATGTCGTCACTATTGGGTTGATGGAACGGTCTAGAAATGATTTACCTGACAGAGTTCCAGATCTTGTGTTCCATGTTGAACCTGTCTAATGGGTTGATGGAACGGTCTATAAATGATTTACCTGACTGAGTTCCAGATCTTGTGTTCCATCTTGAACCTGTCTTGTGGGTTGATGGAACGGTCTATAAATGATAAACCTGACTGAGTTCCAGATCTTGTGTTCCATCTTGAACCTCTCCACTTCCCCTTGGTTGGCATCATCCCGGAGCATCTTCACTATCACCTACAATTATCGGTCATACAATCAACTGAAGATTACATAGAAAATTATTATATTCTAGTTACAATTAAAATACTCCAAAACACAGAAAGGGATTGAGGTTTGCCACATACTCTGATTATCTAATCCCTATATTTTCGTATATTTCAAATTCAAACTATATAAATTCTGTTCAATCAAATTATCTAAGTTTGAATTATCAAAGATTTACACCATCAGGTTGCAGAGATACAGAGATGATAAAATTTAAGTCTGTGGCAAAGACAACAAATACACATAGGATAGCCGAAAAATTGTCTTCCTATTTCACAGTTTTGAGTCCCACTTAACAGATAAAGATGTTTTTTCCATCTTTTTTTTAAATTCATGCTATTTTGACATTTAAAAGCCAAGGAACAAACGATTTATCAAACCAATTATTGGTTAACATGAACTAACAGTAAACTTGAAGATAATCTTGTGGAGCCGTTTAAAGAGAATTTTGTGGAGCCGCTTAAAGAGAATCTTGTGGAGCCGCATAAGAGAACCTTGTGGAGCCGCTTAAAGATAATCTTGTTGAGGTGCTTAAAGATAATCTTGTGGAGCCGCTTAAAGAGAATCTTTTGGAGCCACTTAAAGAGAATCTTGTGGAGCCGCATAAAGAGAATCTTGTGGAGCCGCTTAAAGAGAATCTGGTGGAGCCGCTTAAAGAGGATCTTGTGGAGCCGCTTAAAGATGATCTTGTGGAGCCGCTTAAAGATAATTTTGTGGAGCCGCTTAAAGAGAATCTTGTGGAGCAACTTAAAGAGAATACAAGTACCCGCATAAAGAGAATCTTGTGGAGCTGCTTGAAGATAATTTTGTGAAGCTGCTTAAAATTTAAAATCTAACTATGTTCATCTTTACTCTTTGAGTTGCCATTACAAAATTGAGTTGTTGAATTTGAGACAATAAATTTGATATAAAACAACATATTTTGGTGGATTGAAAGATTTTTCAAAACTTAGCAATGCACAAACAATAGGAGACACAGAGCTGCTTTTGGCTAAAATTGGATCCAAATTGTTAAGAAAGAAATATTTATTAAATATTTCTTTTTATCAGTTAAACATGGTCCTCACAATAAAACATAGAAAACGTAAACATTGTATAATTTTTTAATATAATGGACGCAGACAATACACTTTTACTATAGACACACAAAAAAGTAGCTGAACCTTGGCCCCTAACTCCAATTTTCCAATCTTTATAATCTTTGCAACCTGATGTTGAAGACCTTAAATCATGCAATATACATGTATTCTACTAGATCAAATAATCAAGGTTTGAAATTTTGAAGGCTAACACCATCAAGATTAAAAAAATAGGGATAAGAAAATTAGAGGTTGTTTACATAATTATAAAGAATCGACTAAAAAAACTATTTTTGAATATAAATTTTGTCTCCATTAATAGGAATACAAAATATTGTACATTAATCAATTTCATCTTTCGTCCCACAGACATCCAGACTGATATTAAAATGATGCATTAATTTTCTGAACCGGGTCAACTTTGAAGTGTCCCTTGGCCTATGGTTTTACAAAGCAAACTTACTAATACATTTTAGTATCCCTTGACTTGTACAATATAGATCTACAACGTGTTTGTTTGTAGCTTTAGTTTAAAAGGAGTAATGCAAAATGATGATGATTTTTGCATTTGAGCAATCTTTGGATTACTGTGGCTTATCTTGAGACCTCTCTGCAGGCTTCCTTCAACCAATATCCGACCAAACCTCCAGGCTTCCTTCAACCATTATCCGACCAAACCTCCAGGCTTCCCTCAACCATTATCCGACCTCCCTGCAGACTTCCCTCTACTATCCAACCAAACCTACCTTGAGACCTCCCTGCAGGCTTCCCTCTACTATCCAACCAAACCATCCTTGTCCAATAGTTCCATTGTATCTAAAAATACTGAGTTAGGATTCAAATCAGGAATATTTTGTATTTTTCATTAATCTGCACAATGAGAAAATAAACAAAATACCTTCGTATTTCTTTCATGAAAAGCTATGAACTTTCTGTTTGACAAATCCACAAAGAACATTTAAGAGAAACCATGATTTTCATAAAGAAACAAGGATATCTCCATTATTTTGCTGAGACAAAGAGTCGTACATAAAAATATCACTTTAAGTCCACTTAGGTTAAGTAAATAACTAATTAAGTAATTTATCACTTGAGCATAACAAGAAGAATAAGGAACTGTAGACTAGATTCATTTGAACCTCAATTTATGCTGTAGCATTTCAGATACACAACCGTATCCTTAATGGCTTTATCTGATCTATTACCACATGTTTTTCATTTTTTAATCTACAGGTTCTCCTCAAAAGTGACTTGCGTATTTCTACTCAGGAAACCAATTCGGAATTATCAGAATTAACACTTTTCAAGCTAGATAAACTATGTTTTCCTCCACATAAAGCTGATCATATAAAGGTTTTCAGGATGCGCGATGCGCCTCTTAATATGAAAAGTTAGTTGAAATTACGTTAACAGCCCCTTGAAGGAAGAAATAAGTCCCTTGAATCCTGAACCCTGGGTATTAAAGTAAATACGTTCCTCTAACCTGATCCAAGGGTATTAAAGTAAATATGTTCCTCTAACTTGAACCCAGGGTATTAAAGTAAATACGTTACTCTAACCTAATCCAAGGGTATTTAAGTAAAAAGGTTCCTCTAACTTGAACCCAGGGTATTAAAGTAAATAGGTTCCTCTAACCTGAACCCAGGGTATTAAAGTAAATAGGTTCCTCTAACCTGAACCCAGGGTATTAAAGTAAATAGGTTCCTCTAACCTGAACCCAGGGTATTAAAGTAAATAGGTTCCTCTAACCTGAACCCAGGGTATTAAAGTAAATAGGTTCCTCTAACCTGAACCAAGGGTATTAAAGTAAATAGATTCCTCTAACCTGAGTGCCTCTCTACTGTAAACTAAAGAGATCCTTTCCAAATCATCAGCACGAGCTACAAGAATTTTTATATTTATGAATTTCTTTAATGATAATTAAAGTCTTAACAAAACAAAATAAAATTTACAATATCACAGCTAATTTATAAGTTAAACTATCAAAAAAATCAGTTTTCATCTTTGTAAACTTTAAAAAAAAGAAAATTAAAGGAATTGTTAACAATGATTGTAAAGAAGGTCGTCGTCCAGGCATTCATTCGAACTAACCAGATTTAAAGTTTGGTTAATTTGCTATATTTTAAAGAAAGGAGTTAAAAACCATTCAAGTGTGTTTTTCTAAAAAAAAATGTAACTATGGAGAAAAAATCCCAACCATAACAAATGTGGTTTCCATATGTATTTTGCCAGTCTGGGTGTTTGTTTATTTGTATACAATAAGCGTAAAAATGGATAAACCGATCGGAATTAATTATACCGTACTCACCAAAATAAACTCAGTAAACTGCAAATATTTTAAGAACGATTTAAAATCGCGACTTTCAGTTTTCAACACTAAAGTTGTTGTTAGGAATATGGGGGGGGGGGGGAGGCGCCAATCGCATTCGTCATTAAATGGATTCTTCACAGTGTCGATCTACCTGTATTGTTATTCAGAACTGTTGGTAAAGGTTCGAATGTAATATCCTCTGTTAGTTCAAGAAAGGGTTGGTTCCTTTGTACTCCAGCCCTGTACCCATCCTGGGACCTGAATATTGTTCATAGGATTCCTCATTTACTCCAGCCATGTACCCATCCTGGGACATGAATATTGTACATAGGATTCCTTATGTACTCCAGCCCTGTACCCATCCTGGGACCTGAATATTGTACATAGGATTTTTCATGTACTCCAGCCCTGTATCCATCCTGGGATCTGAATATTGTACATAGAATTCCTCATGTACTCCAGCCCTGTACCCATCCTGGGACCTGAATATTGTTTATAGGATTCCTCATGTACTCCAGCCCTGTACCCATCCTGGGACCTGAATATTGTTTATAGGATTCCTCATGTACTCCAGCCATGTACCGATCCTGGGACCTGAATATTGTTTATAGGATTCCTCATGTACTCCAGCCCTGTACACATCCTGGTACCTGAATATTGTTTATAGGATTGCTCATACATTCTATTATACTGTACCCATCCTGGGACCTGAATATTGTTTATAGGATTCCTCATGTACTCCAGCCATGTACACATCCTGGGACCTGAATATTGTACATAGGATTCCTTATGTATTCTATTATACTGTACCCATCCTGGGACCTGAATATTGTACATAGGATTCCTTATGTATTCTATTATACTGTACCCATCTTGGGACCTGAATATTGTACATAGGATTCCTCATGTACTTTACTATACTGGACCCATCCTGGGACCTGAATATTGTACATAGGACTCCTCATGTACTCTATTATACTGTACCCATCCTGGGACCTGAATATTGTACATAGGATTCCTCATGTACTCTTTTATACTGTACCCATCCTGGGACCTGAATATTTTACATAAGATTTCTCATGTACTCCATTAAACTGTACCCATCCTGGGACCTGAATATTGTACATAGGATTCCTCATGTGCTCTATTATACTGTACCCATATTCCATATTCCATATTCCTCATATACTCCAGCCATGTATCCATCCTGGGACCTAAATATTGTACATAGGATTCCTCATGTACTCTATTATACTGTACTCATCCTGGGACCTGAATATTGTACATAGGATTCCTCATGTACTCCATTAAACTGTACCCATCCTGGGACCTGAATATTGTACATAGAATTCCTCATGTGCTCTATCATACTGTAACCATCTTGGGACCTGAATATTGTACATAGGATTCCTTATGTTCTCCAGCACAGTATTTTATTAAACTGTATGTGCCTCACCACACTTTGTTGAGGAGTCTATTTTGGCTATCCAATCAGGCCCTACCTACATTCTACAACCTACTCCTTGGTCTATCATTCAGAAGAGGGTTTAACACCCTTTCTTCTCTCTGGATTCTCAAGGTAGCTGCCAACAGGGCCGGATATCCCAACTGACCAGCCCCGGTTGGCCGCTAGAGGTCCAGACGTACCCTGAGACAAAATACCTGGCTTAAGGACCCAGCCTTACTTTACAAGCAAGTAGTGGCTTTGTCTCAAGGTGAAGATCAAAAGGGTTGACCTTAGCAGCCAGGCCGCGGTCTGCAGGTCATATTAGTAGACCTGGAGTGCAGCATGTTGGGTCGGTCAAGCTAGATCAACCAGCAAGCTTTGACAGTAGGATACTTTCAGGCAGGCTGATTAAGCAGTCCAGCTTGCTGTTCAGTATATATTACAGGAGGATCTTACAGGTTTGCAGAGTAGGAATACACTTCTTAACCTGAATTGTCACATACAGGCTTATGAGAAGTATTAGAGCTTTTACTTCAGAAAGACAACAAAAAAGGTAGGGCTTTTTCATCAGTCTAAAATTAAGTAAAATAGAGCGTTTTAGCTTATTAGGTCTCAAATTATACAGTTTAGATCGTTTTTAAACAAATCCCAACCCTACTCTCTAGCACTAGAATTATATCATTTTCTTCTCAATATATTTCGCCAAAAACTTTGGCATCATCAGGAGTTTGTCCTATAATGTAACAGATATAAGCAAAAAATAAAAATAAATAATACAAACACAGCAACTAAAATAAACAAAGAAGAGAACAAAAATAAAAAATCTTTTTATGTAAAATGGAATTTTTCAAAATGAATATTGTCAAAACACATAAAACTTAAAAGAAAAATTAGAAAACCGTACCTTACTCTTTTGAAGAGTATTGAATGACTGGAAAAGGATTGACTAGTTTCTGGGCGTATGCAGTGGGGGAAGGAGGGGGGGTGTTGAATGGGGTAGAATTCGTCGACAAGACGGTCAAATACATGAATTCGATCAACACTATAAGGTACTGTTGGTAATACATATACATACAGTTTAAAACAAACAAAATTTATTTTTTTTAAAAAGATTGCAATTAGCATTATGTTTTCTTGTTCAGTCCTGACCTCACTGAGTTAAATTTCTGGATGTAGTATGACTCCCTGACCTTCCTGACCATGCTATCCCTGGACCTGATCTTCTCTATGGGAATGAAGGATAAATCTGCATATGAGTGGGGAATGAAGGATAAATCTGCATATGAGTGACCAGGGACACGAAAATTATACATTCTTATAGAAGTAAATATTGTAAAGCTAAATGATGATTTTTGATAGATTTTTGATCAGAAGTTAAGCGTGTTGTTGTTGGTAGCATGTATCTCAAAATTTCTTGGAAATCCAATACTTTTTTGCACAAACACAATTTTCAAAAGTTTATTAAATATTGAACAGTGAGAAGAAAAATTAATGACTCTTAGACTTAACTTACCCATTTGAACACGGATTACAGAAGACAGTTTTTAACCAGGCACAGAGAACTATCATTTTATAAGTTAATTTTAAATAAGTTTAAATGTTTGAATGTTTTCTTTTTATTTTTATTTTCATTATTTTCTTTCTATTTATTTTGTCGTTTTCAGGACGTCTGAACTCCAGTGGAATGAATAAATGTTAAATGTTTCATTATTATTAAAAACAAGCCCCCCCCCCATCCGCCCTGAAAACGAATGAATATTGTGATTTTTTTTATTTTCAAATTCTTTTTAGCATATATTCCTAATGAGAAAATTAATGCAAGGGATGCAAACACGGATAAAGGAAGAATAAATGAAATATCTGCAGACATCATCATTTTTAATTCAAACTCATTTTTATCTAGAACTATTGAATTGAGTGAATGAATTGAATTCAACTTAGGCACAGACGTATTAAATTGAATAAAAAATTTAAAAGTTGAATCTAATTAATGAAAGAATGCAACATGAAAGTGAAAGTAATTTATTAATGAATTGAATTGACTAAATATATAAATTGAATCTAAAAGAGTGAATGGATATAATAAAATCAAAAGTGAATTAACTAAATTAAATAAATGAATGAATGAATTGAATCTATAATGAAGGATGAATAAATAAATGAATGTATGAGTAAATTAAATAAACTAAATTAAATGAATGAATAAATGAATGAATTAAATCAATAGGAGTGAATGAATATGATTAGATGTATGAGAGAATACACTGAATTAAATAAATGAATGAATGAGTTGAATCTTTAAAAATGAAAAAATATGATTAAATGTATGAGTGTACAAGCTGAATTAAATAAATGAATTAATGAATGAATTTATCAGTAAATTAAATAAACTAAATTAAATAAATTATTGAATGGATTAAATGTGAATGAATATAATTAAACTGAATTAAATGAATAAAAGGATGAACTAATATCTATAAGATTAAATAAATTTGATTAAATGTATGAGTGAACAAAATGAATTAAATAAATGAATGAATGAAAAAAATCTATAAGAGTGAATGACTATGATTAAAGGAATGAGTGAATTAAATAAACTGAATTAAATAAATGATAAAAAAGAAACACTTGAAGTTCCTTGCATAGGATCCCTATTTAAACAAACTGACTCAAAATAATTCTTTTATCCTTCTTATCTTCCAGAATACTATACTGTGTAGTTTACTCTAGCTAGAAATCGTTTAAGAAAATTCTCAACATCAAAACGTTTCCATATATACAGGGTGTCCCCCGAAACATGACAGTTGGTGAATAGTTTTGAATGTTTTCTTCCATATACGTATTGATATTGTAGACTTTTTGCAGTTTATTTATTTTTGAAAATTTTTACTCAAATATATTTTACTTTGAAATTAATTTTTCTATAATATGGCTCCCATGAAAAATTTCATATTATTCTATTGAGGTTCAAACAACAAACTATGGAAGAAGACATTTAAAACTTTTCACCAGCTGTCATGTTTCGTGGGACACCAGCTGCATTTAAAAAATCTGTAGTAGGAAGACGAGTTTTAGATCCAAATTATGGTTTTAAATAATTCATTGAACATTAGACACATCAATTGTGCAGTGTAAACAGACCCATTTCACTCAATAAGTGATTTAATAAGTTACTACAGTTAAACCTTAAATATTAAATATCGAAAGAATTTGTGAAATGTCGTCTTGACAATTTTTATGGGTTTTATACTATTTTACGTAAATCTCAGTATTGCGAAAATTAATAAAAAGTTATGAATATGCAGGAATAGTTTTAAAGAGCTCCATATAATCATTTAATTAAAAAACTAAATATTTGCAACATTCCATGATCAGAAAGTGAAGAATACGACATTTGATAAATTTGTTTGATGTATTTAATATTTATGGCTTAACTGTAGTAAATTTTTTTTTTGGTTAACAATAACATGTACTAAGATATTAAAATATTATGACACTAAGACATATAGCATTAAATTCCTTACTTTGATGTTATAATGATAGTGATAGCAAAACATCAAAAAAACTATGCAGATGCAGTCGAAGCACTCTACCCACGCACAGTTCTGAACCTTCAGTAAAAGTAAATTCAACCAAAAGTCTGACCGCGTCAACTTTGTTGCACCGGCTAGTTCTATTCAGTGTCTGCTTTATTTACCCAATGTCCGAGTGATACAGTACAAACTGGGACAGGAAAGGTTGACCCGGCTCGGAAATTCAAATGTACTAAGGCTGCAGCCCATGTACATACCATAAGGGAATAGTTAAAGTTACACATATTTAGAGATCTCTTGAAGGTTGACAAGCCTCCTGCCTTGAAACAAACTAGAAGTTGTGATCCTATTCCTATATATCAACCAGGTTGTTGTTTTTAAAGTGCACATCCGACCTACAGAGTATCGGATCAATAGCAGCTGTAAAACCACATGCTAGTAGGTCGGATGGGCAGTAGAACGGATATGCGCGCGCAGGTCCAAAAATACCCACCGTTTTTTTTACATAGCTTAGTTGTGATAAAGATGAAGATGATCTTTAATTAATCTTTTAGCCGTCATGTTTAGTATTACACCCACTATCACGAAAGTACAATGAGTTTAATTCTATCTGTCTGATTTAAGTTTGGGCTATATATATATATATATTGAACCCTCTGGTCCCTTTTTTTCAAGGCCTAATTATTGTAAACCTTAATTATCAATCGGTCAATGGAATAAAGTTTTTTTAAAAATTTCGAAAAATATTCATGTTACTTATCTTATAATTGGTTAAATAGACATTTATTTAGTTTATAATTGGTTAAATAGACATATAGTTATTTCATAATTGGTTAAGTAGACATTTACTTATCTTATAATTGATCAAATAGACATTTAATTATTTTAAAATTGGTTAAATAGACATACACTTATCTTTTAATTGGTTAAATAGACATTTACTTTTTTTAATTGGTTAAACTGACATCTACTTATTTTATTGGTTAGAAGACATTTATGAATCGTATAATTAGTTAAATAGACATTTATGTATGTTAAATTGGTAAAATAAAATTTTTTTGTAAGATTGAAATGTCCACAAGTGATCATTTTTGTGCATCTTGCAAATAGTAATAGTAGCTACTGTGTTCAGATATCTTGCTTGTTAGTTGTTACATGACGAGCTCCATGACAATTATGTTTTCTTTTCAATCTTCAATCTTTGCCTCATTTTTTGCATTGGAGATGTGTGTTACTCCTAAAAAAAGGTATCTTTCAGTGTTTTTAGCGAGAACAAATCTTTTTCCACTCTTGTCGCCTTTCAGCATTTCTGTCTTTAAACTTCCTCAAATTGTTTGTATATTGAATTTAAAAACAATTTGGATTATGGCATGGGGGACAATAAATCTTTTTGTGGCTTATGGCTGCCCGAAGTCGAAAATGCTCAAATGTATGACGCATGAAATAAATGTTTTTAAAATTGAAATGGTTGAAATAGGGGCTGGGCAACGTTCCATTCAAAAAACGGTACTTTAAAAAATAATGGAAAATACCATTAATTAAACAAACATTCCATTCTTAGCTAAATAACGAACTGCTACCTGAATTTTTTTTTAAGGTTTGAATAAATGTTAACAAACTGCTTAAAAAAATCAGAATGTTCCAGGCCCCAGTTGAAAGCATATATAGTTGGCTTACCAATAATCATGTATGGAGCATTGAACATCAGTATTATGGTTGGAATACCGTAAACAGCAAAGATCTGAAATCCTTTCAATAGATTGCTCGTCTTCCTAGCTTGAGAGTACAAGGTCTTCCTGGTCTTTACCTCAACCTAACAATAACATTTCATTAATACCGCACATATTTTTCCCTATTAATTAGCTGTAGTGCAGGCATTTAAAGGCAGAGGGGATACCAGGGATTACAGACAGGCCAATGAAAGGACCACATTTAATGATTTGGATTTATGTTGCTGAACTACCTTCCACCTGATCAATTTCTTCTCATGGGTTCACTGGCTCAAATCCTGAATCACTGATTAAAAGTTTACGGTTCTGAGCAACCCTCATCTGCAGTCAGCTGACACAGACAAATTACCCCGCTGTTCTAGCCAATCTGAGTGCCACAAAAAAATCTCATTGGCTGAAACAGAACTCGACTTTGATTCAATTGGATAGTTTAAAAACTTGAAGTAAAACCATTCATATACCATCGAAATTCAATGAAAGTCTCAGACAGACTACTAACGGCTATTAGAAAATGTTTTAGGACTGCACAGACCTATTAAAGGACGACAGTGGACTAAAAGGGCTTGCAAATTCACTATAGGAGACTTTAACATCAAGTTTATATGACATTTTTAAGATACTAAGGAATACCGGAAATTCAGAAAATCAAAAGTCATTTAACATGTTAAAAACCAAAGGATTTTTTTTTGTGCTTTGCGGAAATATTCAACAAAGATTACAGAAATATTTAGTTTTAAAAAAATCACAAGAACACAGTTGTACATTGAACAAAAACCAAAACTTATCTTCTTTTTGTCTTCAACTTCTTAAATCACAATATTCATTTGTTTAAGCATAATTGGGTGGATTTAGAAATATGATACAGTGCAAATTCTGAATGTAAACATTGTTTGATTTCTAATAGATTAATAATTTGTTAACACAAAATGATATATTGGGTAGAATTCTTAGTCCCTTCTGGTCCCCAACCTTATTACCAAATGTTGCAACCCCCCCCCTCACTCACTGGAAAAAGTGCAACATCCGCCCCTGCTTAGATAATATTTGTCCAAAATACAAAAGACAATTGCTATTTGGAAACAATTTGGTATTTAAAAAATTCTCGATAAAAATTCTGTGACATTTCATGTAGAAAGAACCAGAACAGAATTACAGCCGATCGTTATATGTACAAATGTCATGGATATAATCTTTTAAGTATATAAATATTTTCTTTGTAATCCCTGCTGCCAACTTATATATAGGAAGGGATGCAGAATTATAATTCAAAGTCAATTTCTTTCCCCAAAGAAAATTTTATTTGTGAACTATTGCTATTCTTGCAATCCAACTTCTTAATTATGACAAATTTAGATTATTCTAAATGAATTTGTCCATGGCAATAAATCAGAGATAAGAGAGTAACATAGATCAATTAAAAGATATGATATGCGATATTTTCCACAGCAGGTGTATTGTCAAATACGGTACACGACCATTAGCAGACATCTCTATTCAGGGATATTTTGGGATCCTTTTGGATATAAAGTACAAAATCTTCAAAAATAGACTAAATTCATAAATTTCATGTGTAATGTGAAAAATCGGAGCATTATTTTAAATTGTGAAACTTAAATCTTGAATGGGTGACCGTTAGATGGCATTCAAAAAACCTTTAATGAAACTATAGAATGACGTGCCGGGAAACTATAGACCTGCATAGCCTATACAGTAGAGCTTATGATCACTCTGTTTTAGTGCGTATGTACAATGAAATATGCAGAAAGAGTATGGCATCCGAGTTCAAGAGGTTGGCACATAGCTTTTAGGGTAGGGATACCTTATCTTAAAAGATAAGAGTATTAAGATATTATAACCTGTTCGATTCTATTGATGAGATCTACTGGTCTGATGGTGTTGTTAGCATTCAGAACCTCCTCAACTGAAGGGTGGGGGTCAGGTTTGCGCTTTCGAACTAGAAGTAAACCAATCAATAATTGGGATTGGAAACAATGCTTAAGGTAAAATAACATTTATTAAGTTACATGTATGAGGCATATTTGTAGCAATTTTTAACTAAACAAGATGTGGAAGATATTTTTAACTAGTGAATACTTAAATCCGTCAATAACTTTGCAATCCATAGCAATTTTACTTAAACAACCAGAGGCCAAATTTAAAGAATTTTAGCCGCAGCTTAAATTTTAGTCGCGGCTCAAATATGGTTGGTTCCACTTAAAATTGTATTCAATGTTTCAAGATTTAAGACGGCACTCAAATGAAACCGGTTTTTGGCGGATTTGAGACGCAGCTCAAGTTCATTAAATTTGGACTCAGGTTTCTTATTTTCAGCAGTATTATCCAAATATTTTAAACAGACCCATCACCCATCACTCCTTAATTACCCCCTAACACACCCAATTAGTAAGTTTATTTTATTAAACAATAAAACAATGTTACACCTATATTTTTTTATTAAACAGCAAACAATGTCCCACTAAAAATTATTTCTACTAAAACTGTATTTTATTGGTTTGAAATAAATTCATTTATTGAGACTATGTGTTATGGAGTATTGGAGCCATCAAACAACTAATCACCTAATCACCAACGCCATGCTTAAGTTTCAACACCTGTATTTTCATTAAGGCAAATTATTTTATCTGTTTTTTCTTAGTATGTGAATAGTGAAATTCCAGAAAAACAAGTTTCCTTTTTAATCCCCCCCTCCCCATTGTTTAGAATACAGATGGGCATTGTTTTTTGAAAGAAAGTAATTTTTTAAGAAGACCAAAATTTTAATGAACAATATATGGTGTCGTTCAGAAAAATTACTAAATGATGGACACACAAATTGGATTGTTTGCATTTTATGGATCAGTCTGAATGTTAATAAACGGATTCTCTTTTTTAACTGGAATAAAGCAATTGTTTTAAACAAACTTTTTACAAAACGAACAATTTTGTTAAATGATCAATTTTACTAAACCAACAATCTCACGGAACAAATGATATAATTAAACAATTGTTCTGTTAGAAACCTAAACAGAAGTAACTGGAAAAGTTTTGAAATACATACCCCTGATAATTACTTACCATGACAGCTGGTATATGTTCCAACTTTTTCTAGCCGGTTTGTTAACGGTTAGTTTTCTTAACGTTAAAAAATAAAAATTTAAGGTAGCCATTAGTTTTGAAGGTAAGAATGTAAAGTTTGTTTTGTTAACAGTATTTTCCGTTTCTTTAAGTTACCGTTTGTTATTGATCAATAACAGCAATAGCTGTTCAGATATTGCTGGAAGCGCAAAAAAATTTCTTTATTGGTTTGTCAAATTGTTAACAGTGCAAGCTATTAACGGTAATTGTAGTATTATTGGGGTTAACGGTTTGCCAAAATTTCAAAATTTCCATAAAAAATCGTTAGTGGTTAATCAAATTGGATTTACGGCACAAGCCATCATCAAATTACAAAAATATCTTTTAAAGTTCCATCATGTAAATGGAGAGGGGGGGGACTGAAGGCGACATTTAAAATTTTTGTTGTTGCAAGTTTCAAGCAATTTTGGCCAAAAAAAAACTTAAGTTGCCTCTTTTAAAAACCCATCCGTTTCATTTTCGTTTTTAACCATAATTTTTTTTCAAAAATGTATAATCTGTTTTGTTAACAATTTAAAAATTTACAGTTTTTGCAGTTTGTTAATGGACTCTTCTGTTGATTTACTAATACCTCTTTGTCGTTGACGGATCTTTTCCCAGTCCTACTTACCATACATAAAATTAGTATCATCTGGAACTTGTTCTTGAACTGGAGATGATGCTTCGTCTACTGCTATCATGTTACCATGATTATTAATCATCCTACCAGCCTAGTTAGCAGATTTATTATATTAAAGGAAATGGAGACATTGATCAAGCTACTCTCCATTTGCAGTGTGGCATGTCCAATTCACAACAAACTATTTAAACCTTTTTCTAATCAAGAATGACTTCATTTTTTATTTTCTATTTTTCTAGTTTGAAAATTAGATGCTTGGCAGTGAAGAAACACAAATCTCAGTTTTTAGTTACAAAGAAAATGACATCTCCTTCCTTTATGACCAGAAAAAGGTTTACAAGAAACCTGGGTGCATTGGACATGAAACTTTACAAATGGAAAGTATAAAAAAAAAATCAGTTTCTTAATGACAGATGACTCAAGGGCAACTTTCCGCTAAAGGTTAAATCCATCATGTTTATGCCTAACCCAACCTTTTGAAACCATGTATTTTTTTCAGTTTAAGACCAAAAACCTTACACGAAATGGTATTTATGCATAATGAAAGGTTTTAATATTTTGGTTCCAGTTGGATAAGTAATAATACAATTTACGGCTATCAGTTTAAGGCCTAAATAACAGAGGTCAGTGGCGGATATAAGGGGGGTTATTGGGGTTATTTACCCCCCCCCCTAGAATCCTGGGGGTAAATACCCCCCCCCTAGAATCCTGGGGGGAAATACCCCCCTAGAATCCTGGGGGT